ATGATCCCGTACCTCTGGAGTTGGTTGAAGAGAGCACGTAGGTGTTGTTCATGCTCTTCGAGTGACCGGGAGAAGACAAGGATGTCGTCTAAGTACGCGAAGCAGAATTCGAGTCCCCGTAGAATGTCGTCCATTAAGCGCTGGAAGGTCTGGGCGGCGTTGCGCAGGCCGAAGGACATGTATGCATTTATGCATGAAAAACTTCCGAAATATGCACATAAAATTTATACCAAATATTAAAATTGATTTTACATTCTTTTAAGACCAGCAAATCAATATTTCAGTTCATTTTATATAATCGCTGAATGATTCACTTGCAATAAAAAGCTATACTTAAATTCAAATCATGCAACAAAGCCAACATATTTCATTACAAATTTAAAAAAAACAATGGCACTCACATTTAGCTCTCCGAAATTTCAACTTCTTTTCTGTTGCAGTTCACAATTACTAAATGTTTTAGTAGTTGCTATAGGATTCTGACGATGGTGTATAACACACAGAGATATTGGGTTTTCGGACTTTATCCATCGTCCTGGTTTTAAGGTAACTAAGAAAAACACGACGTTTCGGAAACTGGATCTGTTTCCATCCTCAGGTGAGGGAAAACACATATTCTGTTGGGTCCCTTAGAAAGAGCTAGCCTCAATCACTGGACAAACCGATGTCACAAAACACAAAGGTTATAAACACCTGAGGTCTAGCCTGGTCTCCTACTTGGCAGTTAGTACGTTTAGGGGCTAAAATATCTTCAATTTCACAAATATGTTCATATCCTGGATTTTTTAAGAATGCTGTGTACTTTTTCCTTTACTGCTTCACTAACTCTTCCAGGAACCGAATTCAATTTGGAAACAGTGGTTTTGAACACACTTAACGACTGATACAAAGTACTATTGCTACTGCTTGCCTCCAGTGAGGAAATGGCGGATGGAAGATGAGAGAAGTGAGCAGATATATAGGAAAGATTAGTTTCTAGTTCTGCGTTTTTTAGTACATCTTGGGCAATTTGAATTGATGCTGCACTTTTGGAATCAGATGTATTCACGACAGTCCTGTTTCCAAATGTTCGGTATAATAACTCGCTGCACACAGCCACGTGCCCCAGCGCGTTAAAATTGGTTCTGGCGGAAGTAGAACGCTCGGTGCTACTGCTTTAAAGGCTTTTTTTCTGTATGGCGCTTTAACAAATACCTTCTTCACAGAAGAAACCAACAAATTGAGGAAACGGCAATGCAGTTTGCTCGATTTACGCTGCTCCATTCTTTAACTTGTGTTCAACTCAGGCCTATAACAATTCTCGGAAATTGCTCTTGCGTTGCGGTTGCCAGTTGCCCTAAAAAGCTGCTCCAGTCGTCGAAAAATATTAGCGTCTGGATCGGTCTGGATGGCGTCTACATGATAACGTAACACATATTCTCGTGCAGCAGTACCAGCTCTATTGTTTAAGGTACCGGGGTTTGAGAGCAAGTCGCACTATTCATCTTGTATGTGTTTCATGAGCATTCGTTCACTACAGGCCCCAGTTTTGTCCTGTGACCTAACAACGCGCTATCTATTGTAACAGATAAAATTCCTGAGGAGCATGTTACCCAATTTGACGGCGACGAATATATAGAAAACTAAACGTCTCAGTACGTATCTTGTGCAATATATTTTACTTGTTTTTAAACAAGGAATCACACTAGGGAGAACTTTTGGACAAATTTTATTTCACTTTGTATATGTTCAAATCACGTATTCGGAATGCTGGATAAAATCATGATATGAAGATAATCAACGAAATTAACTCAGGCGGCAAAAGTATATCTTCTATACTGAAGGTATCTAGTTCGGATCTCGGCTGAGACATCAAATATCTTGAGCGAGTTTTTTTTTCGGAAATTTACTTAGTCAGTTCCGGCTAACACCTTCCAAGTACCTAGAAACAGACCAAGTTGCTTTCTTCCACGTCTTCCAATTCATCATTCCTTAATAATCCTAACACTGAACGCCGTGTTATACTGCACACACTTCGCTATGACAGCATCGCTAAATATGTCATGTAAGATTTGAGGCTTTCACGGCGGTGACTAGAAGAAAGCAGTCTGCTTTTACCGTTTCTCATGGTCTCTTCGCTTTGCAGATTTCTTATATTTTTCCTTCTACCCTGAAGATGGAGGCGATACGTTCCTCCGAAACGTCGGTTAACACCACATATACACGGTGCCAAATCCCAGAAGACTGCTTTCTTCATAAATAAGTCATATTCAAACAAAAATATAATACAAAGGTAGCTAATATATCCTCCTAAAATATGGTAAACTTAAAATGTTTTAGAAATGTCAGTAACAAACAGAATTACATCTGTAAAGAAACAAGTGCAGGTTAATGACCGCTTGCTGTAATGAAGTTCAGAATTTTTTGTCCTCCCGTCTGCTTTGCAGAATTGTAAAGACGTACAGAAAAAATAATTTTACCCGCTGTTCTCTACAGGTGCAAAACTTGATATTTTGCATTGATGGAAGTGCACAGATTGATGATAGGTCTAAATGAGGACAATGCACTGAGAAAAGTAGTTGGAACTGAGATTGAGCAGGAGGATGTAACAGGAGGCTAGAGAAAATTGCATAATCGTAATATGTAATCATCAGATATAATTAGGATGATGAAATGCAGGAGGATTTTATGGGTGGAAAATGCAACATACAAAAGGATAAGAAGAATCAATACAAAATTTTGACTGGAAAATCCAGAAGGGAAGAGACAACTTAGAAGACCTAAGCATACGTGGGAAGGTAGTATTAAAATTTGTCTTTAAGAAGCAGAATGAGACAAGGTGGAATGGATTAATTTGGGGCGGTGGATTGCTCTTATGAATGCTATAACAAATATTCGACTTCCATAGAAAACGTGGAATCTTTTGGCTATTTGAGAGGCTATTTGCTTCAAAGAACGACTGTACTCTACTTTATTAATTATTGTCTGCTCTAAAAGATAACTGGTATCTGCTTTCACGCCGGTATCTTGCTCGGTTTATCCTACCCTGAAGATGGAGGCTATATGTTCTTCCGAAACTCGACGTTGTTTCCCAGAAGACAAGCGACTCTAAGGTTTCTGACGAAGTAGCATTACAAATTAAATTAGGCGTACTACATTTCTGGACTTTGTTCACCGTGCAGTATTCGGAACAGAACATAATATTTCGGAAACTGCATGTGTTTCTGCACTCAGGTGAAAATGTGGACAGGGTTCTACTGGGGTTCATTGCAAAGAGCTAACTCAATTGCTCCTCCGGTTCCTGAGATAGACTGGGAGCTTGGAAAAGTCTGAAAACGCAGTGCAGTAATATTAGGGTTTCCCGGGTATTCGTTATGAACATCATACCACTAGCGGTAAATTCCATCTTTCATTTCCTGCCACGAATAATGTTAACATAATGAACTTGTGAACGTTAGGTGAAGGCGAAAGTGACGTTTACCTAATGCAGTGCCCTGAAATCTTGTTTGGTAGTACATCTTCAAAATATTGTCACGTGATAGCGTGACTGTATTGATGAGAGGATTTATTGGACACTTCGATACAGCTCCTTACTATACTCCACGTGACAGTTCACTGTTACACACACACACTAGCGCACTCTAGGGTCATTCCATGTGAAGTCATCCAGAGAGTTCGCTCACCATTTTTTAAAAATTTCAAATTTTGTACACTTATTTCTACATATTTTCACACTTCAGAAATATTTTTAAGAAAATTGTAATCCGCTCCTTTCTCCCGGTACAGCCGTTTTTATAATACGAAAAAAACACGTTTTCGGCTCAAATGGAGGTTTGCGTTATCTTCTGTATCTCGATAACTGTTGAAGCTAGAGACTCCAATGAAAAAACCATTTGTTCCTCATGATATGAACTACAAATAATGTTATTACAAGATTTCACTCAACTCACTTCCTCTAGGTGTAATTAAGCTTGAAACTTACCTATCGATTTTTGGAAAAACGCTGCTTTCACCTTCAAACACCAATGGGAGGGGGAAAGTATCAGATTTGTGGTTTCTCCCCTTTGTTGTTACCTACATGAGGAATATACTCACATAGGTAAAACCTCGTACCTACTTTCCAGAATTGTCCAGGAGTTTTCAAACTTTGGGCCCAAATTCGGCCATTTTGAACATCTCATATCTTCGGTGGGGAAGCAACGAAAATTTTGAAGCTCATAGCATATAATGCCCTATTCTAGAGTAATAAGAAATTAAAATTGCAACTTTGATATTCAACTAATAGCGAAGTTCTTATAGTGCGAAAAAACGCGTTTTCGCCTGAAATGGAGGTTTGCATTATCTCACATATCTTGATAACTATTGAAGCTAGAGACTCCAATAAGAAACCAAATTCTTCCTCATGATATGGACTATAAATCATACTATTACAAGGTTTCACTCAACTCGCTTCCTCTAGTTCTAATTAAGCTTGAAACTTACCTGTCGATTTTGGGAAAAACGCTATTTTTCACTTTCAGAAATGCACTGGAAATCTTTATTAGACCCAAAGGAAAAAAATCCATGTAGACAGAGAAGGATCATTGACTTCCTAATTGTGACAGATTCTGTCAGCCTCACGATAACCACATGAGGACAGTAATTTGAAGTAAGATATTTGTGGAACGTTTTTGTGTCCGAATTAAATTTAGCATGGAAAGGGTTAAAATGTGGATGTTTCGCTTTGAAACCAAAATAATCTTTCTTTAGTTCATTACCATCCTCCCATTCGACACTCTGTAATCTATCCAGATGATAAACTCTCATTAAATAAATCAAACCGTTAGTTACCCATATATTACCTATTCCATTAATTTTTAGAGAACATGTTTTATGTTAGATGACGTATATTCCGGTGGGCGTGACTGTATGACGGATCAGTTTCCGGGATTCGTCATTGGTAGATCAATAACCCCCTCCCCTCAGCCTCCTAAGACTTCAGGCGGGGAAAACAGGGGTTCGCCTGCAAGCTTGGCAACACTGCGTTGCACGGAGCGACACATTCCGTCTAATGCCGCGGATTCAGCAGGGAGGGTTACGGCTCTCCTCCCTCCCATAATTGTTTTAGAGTTTAATTAATTGCACACGGAAGTGCAGTGTGGACTGTGAGAGGGTTTTGTCTCGACAGCTGTGCGTAGTGCCTTGTCTTGTGTTGCCTGTTCGCTTGAGACAGTATTGTCACTGGACACGAGTGTTGCATGGTGTGAATCAAATTGGCCTCGGATGAAGCTGCAGACATACAAGTCTGGTGAGTTAAGCGTTTACAATAACGCACACAATACTTAACTTACTGTCTGTCTTAAACAAAATAATTTATTAAAACTACACTTTACGAGCTAGTTCAGTGCTGTGTATGTAGTCTGAGATACTGCGCAAAATGCGTAACAGTAGAATTGAGAAACAGTGAGGTAGGACAGGCTAGTCATTAAAGTCAATGGCCGAGGGCTGGACCGCCGGAAGTTCATTTTTGACAGGAAACGTAATGTTTGCTGTCACTTCGTAAAACTAGGGGTCTGAGAGCCCCCGCCTCTCTCTAATGGGGTCAAGGAGCTTTCTCCACAGAGATTTTGGTGGACGAAGTGGCACTGGGTCAGGTTTTCCCCGGGTACTTCGGTTTCCCCTGCCAATTCTAATCCCACCTCCATCTAGAGTTCGGGGCTAGTATAATAGGTCAAATAGTGGTCGAAGTGGCAAGTGGACTCACTCGCCCCACCCCAAGAAATAATAATAATAAAAAGTTTTCTGCTGGGAAGATGTTGCTGAAATGTTGAATTAACTTGAATTAGGATGAACAAATTCATTATTGAGGGCTGAACGACCAGGATTCGACTGCTGCTAAAGACTGGGGGTTTCTTCTCGTAATCCTTCTGTCAACATAGATTCTGGAGGTCAACCGACCTCCATGTAATGAGAACGTGGAACGTTCTTGGCAGGCCAAAGCGGCCGAAGTGTTGAATCAACGTCGTCAAATAAATCAAGAAACGTAGTTCACAAGATGCATTATTTCAAGGGAAATTATCAACATGTAAACCCTCTTTAGACACTGTGGCAGAATATAAACTTGCTCTGCTTCTTACAGGTTTTAAGGGGCTTAGTACACCAAGTCGTGATTATTTTGGATATGTATGTTCCATAGTCAAATAATACGAGTATCCGAAATCACATATTTACAAACGAATCTCATGCCCTTTTTCTTTTGTTTAGGTCGTTTCCAAAATAAGTCTAACCTCGAGGCCATGTGTGACATTTTATAAGATGCCAGTCTTCTTAGGGTGAGGGGATGTTAGCTCTCAAGCAGTCGCAAAGTTGGAGGACCACTCCATGGCGGAATCTGCAACAGATTATTGGCTGAAGCAATAAAGTGACCGAAGGATCGGGCCAGGGTCTCTTCTCTTTCACTAGTCATCATCATCAGCAGCAGCAGCAGCCGCGTCGTCGTCGTTATCATCATCATTATCACCTTCTTCTTCTTCTATTCCTGTTGCTCCCAACTGGAGCATAGGACGTCCGCGAAACATTTCGTTTCACTTCAGTTTCATAATCTAAAAGAGTCTGTGCGAATCCTTGGATGAGGGATCAGCACGCTGCAAGGCCACTACCTAACACTAACACAGAATAAACGCACATAGACATCCATGCCTCGAGATTCGAACCCACATTCGCAGTGTTCGAGCGAGCGAAGACAGTTCATGCCCTAGACTTCGCGGCCACTCTGATCGGCTCTCTTCTGTAATTCACGTGCAGAATTGCTAGGTCGCCCCACCCAGCGTGAGCTGTTTCGTTTTCTTTAAGGCGGCCGGAGCATGAATCTAACATCTCTATTTAAAGTAGAGTAAAATTGAAGATTGGAATGTTACTTCCTCGCCCCCTATTCTCTTTCATGCTGTGTCGGTTTGGCGCAAGGATAAGTTTTATGTTTTGGCGATGTAGACCTGTACAACGTTTCGCTAGTGTCACTGCCCATTTGAATTTACAGGTTGCATAGTGTGGAAGCAGTTCTCCACCATTTCTGTTCTTCACGTGTGATTACGTTGATTAACGAAAATGAATTTTTGCTTTAAATTTCGGTATAAAAGTGGGTTTCCGGTGATTGTTACAGAATGGCGTGATCATTTTGATTTACTTCTTCCAACATGTAAGGCCGTGCGCGATCTGCATCAGTGATTTGAATAATATGTACTGTTAGTTACTATAGGATTCTGACGATGACGTGTAACACACAGAGATATTGGGTTTTCGGACATTATGTTAAGAACCAGGACGATGGATAAAGTCCGAAAACCCAATATCGCTGTCCAATATATACTGTGTTCGATTCTCCGACAGCGAGTAGACCCAGAACATCAAATCATTAATTTAACAAGTAGCAATCCAAACTCTTAGGAAATCTACTCTCAGACTTTCTCCGAAACAAGGAGTCTCTAGACGCTCTAGACAGCCAGCCCAGCTGATATTGCATGAAGCCAGTCTTTAGCATTACATCCTGAGTTTAACTCATGGATGGCTGGAAGATGATCCTCAACGCAGACTTCACTTTGTGAGCTCATGTTAAATTAACTGTGCGTAGACTAGAAGCGACTAGAAGGCAGTTAATTTGAGAATATAAGGAATACAACTTGAAGGTTAAATTGGCTTCAATCGACATATAAACATAAATATTAAAACAACAAACTCAGTGGCCTGTAGTCCGCAAGCGAACTATACCGACCGAGCGACCGCAGCTTGTCGGCGAAGTTAGTGCAAACTTTTGTGGATAGATGGTGTCACGTGGTCAGCGCAACGTATCCCCACCGCCGTTAATTTCGGTTTTCTAGACCGGAGCCGCTATTTCCATGAAATAGCTCCTCAATTATCCTCACGAGGCTGAGTGGACCCCGCTCCAGAACCCCTACTTCTCAGAAAATCTGGTAGCACCGGGAATCGAACCCGGAACCTGTGTATCTGTAGCCAGGAACTCTGACCACTAGACCACAGAGTCGGTCCAATAAAATAGTACAGTATGATGATTTTATTTGAGCCCCATTGCAGTGACTTCTGCGCAGTCAACTAACATATCGTGCGTGCTGCAAACACAAATGTCGTTTCTTCCTTTATAAAACTCAGTTTTCAACATTATTGTTTTAGATATTGGAGAGGTTCTGGGTTTTGATTCTATTTTATTGCTAGTGGGGTGGGACTAAGTCCCTTGTACTGCGGTCCCTTCTGGCCTCTTGTACCAGCCCCAGATGATAGGTGAGGGTGATTGTGGAGTAATTGGTGGAATGAAGATTGGCATAGGAAACCGAAGTACTCGGAGAAAACCTGTCCCAGCGTCACTTTGTCCACCACAATTCCCATTTGACCAAACCCGGGATCGAATCCGGGCCGCCGCGACGGGAAACCAGCGACTAACCGCTTGAGCTATGGCGCGGCCCATGGTTTTGATTTTACTAGGCGATTGGTTTTCCTATCCATGGATTTTATCAGCCCTTCCAACCGTACTCTGGATAGAGACCACGATCCCTTGCTTTATGTGCAAATCGTCCACTGCTTTTATGCAGTGAATTTGATGAACTATAAGAAATAACACCGTCTCGTGTAGAGGCGGGTTAGACTACATGCACCATAGCCCTGCGTGCCGTACAATGCGACGGAAGGAGAACCCTGTACCTGGGGGTATAACTGGGCCACCCTGTCACTGTAGGGACATAAATACAGAGATGCAGTCCTCCAGTTTGGGTGTTGGACGTAAGGCTGACTGCCTTGCTCCGTAAAAGGATATATTTTTGTGAAATCTAAAGGCGTGAAATTTCTAAGGAAAGCTGTGCCTCAGAAAAGGCTGTTCTGCCAATGATAATGAGGATAAAGAAAATAAACCTTTCATGCGAGTGACTACCCTGACTAATTTTCCACATACTTCCGAGAAAAATTTTGGAACAAAACTTAAAATAAGCTTTCCTCTATTTTCCTAAAAATGAACCATTCACAGGAGTCAGCCGATAAGATGGACCTACTAATGTAGCATTTTCAGTGTCGTGTAGTTCTATTTTTATGTTTTGTGTGGCTTTAATTGGATTTATTTAAAGTAGTTGGGTGAAATTTTTACTTTAATTTGTTGCTCGGGTCTTTTTTGTAGGCTGTGAAATCTTTTCCATAAACTGGGATTAGTTACCCTATTATTTTTATGTAAATTTTACAGTTAAGAAGGTATTGCAGAACAAGCACAAAAACAAAGCACATTTTCTAAAGAATGGCATCGCTGTGAGATTTCTCATGGGCTCTCTGAAATGCCTGCAATAACATTATTAAATCGTTTTAAAGCAGGGCATTACCGTCTTTTCCCAAAGCATTTAATTCATGTAGGTCAGTTCTAATTCGTTACTACAAAAACGTCGCAGTTGAAGCAGCTTCGTCAAATAAGCAAGGAAGAAATCCATGCAATTACAAGCACTCCAATGCGGCTGCCTCTCAGAGCTATTTGCTCTCGCCAAGTGTGTTCTGTGTTGGAATGAGGAATCGCAGTTTTCTCGGCGCTCGCAAGCAGACGAAGGGGAGGACACAGACTGGCTACAGGCTCGACGTCCATGGATCGATTCCCAAGCGGATGTCTCGCCCAGACCAGCTCTGAGGACCTACCCATTCTCGTATTCAGTGAGTGCTTCGGGGGGTTCTTTTCCCCAGGGGTTCATGAATACTTGACACATTAACGACGCTTTTCAACTGCATTGATTTCTCAGCGTTGAATCGTAAGTTAATTTTATATGATTAATGGGAAATGATACGGAAAGAAATAGTTGCGGCTTATTTTAAAACGTTATACCGGCATTTTCTTGGAAGGACTGAAGAAGACTGAAAATTCGTGTAAAGAATAACGGCATTCGGACCGAAAATCGAAGCTATGATCTCGCGAATACGGAACATTATTAAGTGGGGCAAAAACGAACGGCCCATGAGGCTAGCCACTCATTCCATGTAACAGATGTCCAAAATGGGACGGATAGTGTCCTCAAAAGCATTAGCCTCCTTCATGACATCGTGTTTAGACACTGAAGCTGACCTTATTCAGAGCGCAGCTCGCGTTTTATGAACTGCCAAGGCTGTAGGCTTACAGCAGTGAGTTACTGTGGTCACAGTGCCAAAACGACGCAGCGATTCAAGAAATCATCATGACCTACCTCACGGTGCTGGACTTGTAAAGTGAGAAAAGTTACGACTAAGACATTAAGGTTGGCCGCACCATAGCTCAAGCGGTTAGTCGCTGGATTCCCA